CTCTTGTAGAGAAGCACTTGGCTGCTAGATACAACAAACCTGACATTGACATCGTTGACCATTACACGTACAACCTAACTCTCTCTTTCTGTTGCTCCTCCCCGGCAATTTCCTTTTTCCCCCGTTTGTATTTAAACTTGAAGTGCTTTATTTTGTTTCATTTGATGATATTGAAATCTGTATTTCTAGATATGTTATTCTTGGAGATGGTTGTCAAATGGAAGGAATTTCAAATGAAGCTTGTTCACTTGCTGGACATTGGGGACTTGGGAAGCTTATAGCTCTTTATGATGACAACCACATTTCTATTGATGGTGATACTGATATTGCCTTTACTGAGGATGTAGACAAGCGTTTTGAGGCCCTTGGATGGCATGTCATCTGGGTGAAGAATGGAAACACTGGTTATGATGACATCCGTGCTGCTATTAAGGAAGCAAAAGTTGTCAAAGACAAACCCACTTTGATCAAGGTTGGATATTTTATGGATATGTTTAGATTTTCGTGATATGCATTGAATTAATTTTATGGAGCTAAGAGTTTTGTGTAAATCTCACAGTTAAGTCCAAAGATTCTGATTTTCTTGACAAGTTAAACTAACGTTTCTTCTATAGTTTTTGGCAGCAATACCGCAAGAAAAGCTGACTTCGTTGGCGGTGTTATGAATGGTCAATTGAGACATGTTTCCCTTTTCATTTATTTTGTGTGGTGTGGGAAAAATTGCAATGTTGTCCTCCGAATGGGTTAGCTTACAATTTTTTTTTTCTGTCCACATCTCTACAGGTGACAACAACCATTGGTTTTGGGTCTCCAAACAAGGCAAACTCATACAGTGTACATGGTAGTGCATTGGGTGCCAAGGAAGTGGATGCTACTAGGAAGAACCTTGGATGGCCATATGAACCTCTACACGTGCCTGAGGATGTCAAAAAGTAAGTAGATAGGATAGGATAGGATTTCTTTCTAAAGATCTGCTTATCCATGTGGGCTTTGGTCATTATAATGCATTTTTCAGGCACTGGAGTCGCCATATCCCTGATGGTGCTGCTCTTGAAGCTGAATGGAATGCCAAGTTTGCTGAATACGAGAAGAAGTACAAGGAGGAAGCTGCAGAGCTAAAGTCAATCATCACAGGTGAACTACCTGTTGGGTGGGAGAAGGCACTTCCAGTAAGTGAAGCTTTAGTTATCTTTCCGTTGCAAATCCCTGATATCTGGTTTTTTTTTCTTTTTAATTTGGTCAATCATCAGGCTCTTTCTTGTGTAATTTCTAGACATACACTCCAGAAAGCCCACCTGTGGCTACCAGAAATCTGTCTCAGACATGCCTTAATGCACTTGCAAAAGTACTCCCCGGTTTTATTGGTGGAAGTGCTGACCTTTCTTCTGCCAATATGACAATAATTAAAATGTTTGGGGACTTCCAAAAGGACACTCCAGAAGAGCGTAATTTTAGGTTTGGTGTTAGGGAGCATGGAATGGGAGCCATCTGCAATGGCATTGCCCTTCACAGCCCTGGCATGATTCCATACTGTGCCACTATCTTTGTCTTCACTGACTACATGAGAGCTGCCATTAGAATATCTGCTTTGTGTGAAGCTGGTGTTATTTATGTTATGACCCATGATTCCATTTGTATTGGAGAAGATGGGCCAACTCACCAGCCAATTGAACACTTGGCAAGCTTCCGTGCAATGCCCAACATTTTGATGCTCCGTCCAGCTGATGGAAACGAAACTGCTGGTGCATATAAAGCAGCTATCCTTAACAAGAAGAGACCCTCAATTCTTGCTCTCTCTCGGCACAAGCTACCCCATCTTCCCGGATCTTCCATTGAGGGAGTTGAAAAGGGTGGCTACATTATTTCAGATAACTCATCAAGCAACAACCCAGATGTAATTCTGATTGGAACTGGTTCTGAGTTGGAAATTGCTGCTAGAGCAGCTGATGAACTCAGAAAGGAAGGTAGGGGTGTTAGGGTCGTGTCACTTGTTTCCTGGGAACTTTTTGATGAGCAGTCAGATGCCTACAAAGAAAGTGTCTTCCCAGCTGCTGTATCAGCTAGGGTTAGCATTGAGGCTGGATCGACATTTGGATGGGAGAAGATTGTTGGATCTGCAGGGAAGGCAATTGGTATTGACCATTTTGGTGCAAGTGCGCCATCGGCCAGATTATTCAAGGAGTTCGGTATCACTGTAGAGGCTGTCATTGCAGCAGCAAAAGAAGTTAGCTACTCTCAGTAATGGTTTAAGAGCGATTGTGAGAGAACTTGGGATTTTGGGTTGGAGGAGATTAGAGTGAAGAGGTCATTCTCAGGGGATTTGCTTCACAACACAATCTATCTTGTGCGAATAAGAAACTAATTAAATTTCAGTTTGCTTGTAAATTCATCCTGTGGCAAGATAGAGCAAACGAAGTGTAACAATAATTCTTGAACTTGTGTCAAGAGTCTGAAACATCTCTGGTTATTTCAGAATACAGCTAGCATTTACTACTATTGGTCATTCTTCTTTTTCTCTTTCCTTTTTGTCTGAGCCATGCTTGCTGCCGTAGTTATGGACTAGATACAATTCTCTAAGATATAAAAGATCGTGTGTGATGAACCTGAATGGGTGGTTGAAACGACAGATGTCCCTTCGAGAAAAAGGGGATTTGTGCTTATGTGATGAAGTTGAATTGGATTGAGTAGTTTCAAGCCATCCAAAAAGGGCTTTAAATAACCTCTGTTCTGAAAGGGTCAATTTTTGGAAGATATAGACCTATTGACAAGTTTGTGGTTATTGGAGCTTCGGTTCTACCCTTTCCTATCCATATTGTTTCTTATATCTAGGATGTTAACGGGCCTCACGAAGGTGAAGAGTCTTTCTCTGTCCCTGTCT